CTCATAATCATAAAATACGGGTCTCAGCCCACTTTCATATTTTCACGGCACCCCGTGCCAATATCTCTATCACAACCGCACGGACAACTCACGTTCCAATATCATCATCATATTTTCCATGGCACCTCGTGCCCACATTTTATATCTGTTGCGGCGTGCAACCCGATCCCATATAACATTAATCATACCTGTTACAGCGTGCAACCCGATCCCATATAACATAATCCGTCTCGCAATAGCCACAGGCTCCCAATTTCAACATAGATCAGATTATTATCAAGTTTACTGAAACAACAAGACAAGTTGCACATGATATAAAAATAAACACAAGAAAAATCACAACATCACATGAAAATTACCAACGCAATAATCCCACATCATTACATAAAAATTACCAACACAATAAATCATATCATCCCTGATAATAGCCACCCTTATCTCTCCTATAGCCACCCTTATCCCTCTTATAATAGCCTCCCTTATCACTCCGCCCTGACAATATTAATAGCCACCCTTATCGTTCATATAGCCGCCCTTATCGCTCCGTATAATAGCCATCCTTATCACTCCGCCCATACATATCCCAACACACATAACCACAGTAAAATGCCACCCTTATACCCACATAATATCAACAGTGAAATTCCACACTTATATCCTCATAATAATAATTCAAACCACATAATAATTTAAACGGAATATTATCACGATAACACAATACAATCAATTCATATCTCAATTTGCCCAATGGCCACAAGCAATTCCAATGATATAGTAAAATCAATAAATTTCTCAAAAACAACCCAAGGCTTCACACAACGTATATAAAATCTCAGAACAACAACAGAGATGAAAAAGTAACTTAGCATAGGACAACGACTTCTTTAATCCAGATTTTAATAAATGTAAATTAATACCTCATTTTAAACTTATTTAATAATTTTTGTTTTGCAGATAAGGATTCAATAATGAATTTAATTCCAAGAAAAATATCAAATCAACAAGCACACGGAATTCACATAAAAATTCAAGCGACAATAACACCAAATTATCATCTAAAATACAATTTCGACAAACAAGGAACGAGGCATGACAATTCAAGAATTTACTAAGTTCCAACAATTTTTCAATTTAATACATAAGGGTGTCTATGAATTTTAACCGATATAATTTGCACATATAAACCAAGTACGTACTCGTAACCTTGCGTACACGGCTTTCAATCAAATAATTTTCACATAAGACTCAATGCCTAAGTGGTAATTCCCCCACTTAAGATTAGGCAAGATACTTACCTTTTTGAAGTTATGCCGATATTCCAAAATTGCCTTCTTGCTTGAATTGACCTTCGGACAGCTCAAATCTATCCAAATTAATTCAATTCAGCCAATACTAATTATAAGAATTAATTCCATATGAAAATACTAATTTTCTAACAAAATCCGAAATTTAACTCAAAAATCGTCCATGGGGCCCACGTCTCGGAATCCGACGAAACTCACAAAATCCGACAACCCATTCAATTACGAGTCCACCCATACCAATTTTATCAAATTCCGATAACAACTCGACCTCCAACTCTAAAATTTTCGTTCTTGAAAAGTTTTGCAAAAATCTTGATTTCTTCCATTTAAATCCGAAGTAAATGATGAATATAACCATGGATTTATGAAATATAATCACTTTTTGATATAGGACACTTACCCAAGTCGAAGTCGTGAAGAAATCTTTAAAATCACCCAAGAACCGTGCTCCATAAATCCAAAAATGAAATGAAGGAAATGACCATTTTTGGTCCTTAAGTTTCTGTCCATCCGTCACTAAAAATCTATTTTCCGTCACTAAAAGTTCATTTTTCGTTACTAAAAGTCCACACAAAAACTTGCTTGCACCGACAGTTATTGTTTTCACTAAAAAGACTCTAACTCCATCATACAAACTCGGAATTCGACGATTCTTGTTCCTATGAGTCACAAATAATAATACGAACATAGTAGTTCAATCGAAACTCAATTCAGAGCTCATTTGCTTAATGCGATACCAATTTCGCTCGTTAAACAATTAACTCATATTTCGCGCTAAAAACCCAATCGCGACTTGATGAAATTAGACCAAACTTTCGAGATCATTCTTATAATTAATTATCAAAATCTCGGAAGTCTTGAAATCGAATTTCGATCTCTAGAACTAAAAATGGACCTTTGGATCATTACATGCTTATGCTGAAAACATCAAACTCTTCCAAAACTCTTACCCGACAACCTGTAGTGTATCAACCATAACTTCTTGTACTCAACTCCAACTGCCAAACAGTTTATATTTTTGCAAACTAGATACAAAGGGCTACAACTTTCATGTTTTGTTCATCGCTCAACTCCTTATAGATTGTGAGATATAAGCTCCCAAAGTCAGTCTGTGCAGCAGAAATTTCTGGCGATGCACACTGCTGTAGCTAAAAACTGCAGTACCAGATTCAGTCAATCGATCATAACTTTTTGTACAAATATCCGAATGATGAATGGTTTATTATTCTGGAAACTAGAATCAAAGGGCTACAACTTTCATGCTTTGATAATTTCCAGATTCCTTATAGATCGCGAGATATAAGCTTCCAAAGTCAGCTCCGCGCATCAGCAATTTCGCACATTGCTGTCAAAAACAACCAGCAGTTAAAAATGATCCGAAATCACTCCGAAACTCACCCGAGGCCATCAGGACCTCAACCCAATACACCAACAAGTCCTAAAACATCATACGAACGTAGTTGAAACCTCAAATCACATAAAACAATGCTAAAATCACGAATTATACCCCAATTCAAGCTTAAGGAACCTAAGAATTTTCAACTTCTACATTCGATGCCGAAACCTATCAAATCAATTCCGATTGACCTCAAAATTTTCACACAAGTCATAAATGACATAACGGATCTATGAAAATTTTCAGAATTGGATTCCGACTCAAATATCAAAAAGTCAACTCTCCGGTTAAACTTTCCAAAAATTCAACTTTCGTTATTTCAACCAAAATTTCACTATGGACTTCTAAAATAATTTTCTGGACATGCTCTTAAGTCCAAAATCACCATACGGAACTATTGGAATCATCAAAACTTTATTTCGGGGTCGTTTACACATAATTCACCATCCGATCAATTATTTCAACTTAAGCTTCCAAAACAAGAATTGTTCTTTCAATTATATCCTGAATCATCCGAAAACCAAACTTGACCACCTTCGCAAGTCATAATACACATTTCAAAGCTGCTCGAGACCTTAAGTCATCGAACGGAACGTAAATTCTTAAAATGACAAGTTTGGTCGTTACAAGTAAAAAGTAAGAAAGTCTATTCATTTTAAAGCTCATCTTAGGCAAATCCAACGTTGAAATAGGAAAAAAAAAGTTAGGAGCCATAATAAAGATAAGTTCTAAACTCTATCGTTGAGCCGCTTTTTAGGTTAAAGGTCAGAAAAGATAAAATCGTATCATGATATTTGACAGTTGGGCATGCACCTTTACAGTTACCAAAATACTCAATTAACCAAATGGTCATAAATTAAATGTCAAGTTCAGCTTTTAGCTGCTGCACATTTACAAAGGCAGGCTGTCAATGCTAAACTGAGGAAGGAATACGCCAGTGTTTTAGAAGGCGTTTTTTGGACGACTCGGAGCGAGTCTTGGGCCGAGGCTTATCAAAAAAGTACCGAGACGTATTGGCGGGGCATAAGTATTGCAGATCGTAAGTCCCAATATTCCGGGCATTCGCCTAGGCATAAGTCTCAATCTCTGGGAAAAACCGACCAAGCGATACCGCCAACGTTGGTCGGTCCACAAAAGCGACCAAAAAACCGTCCAAAATGGACGGAAACTACCAAAAAAATATTTTATATTTTTTTTAAATTACACACCGACCAAAATTGGTCGGTATATTGGTCAAACATTTGACCACATTGGTCAGACTTGCTTAGTCAAAGCATATTTTTGATTACCGATCAACATCGGTCGGTAATGTGAACCACATTTTAAATTTTAATAATTATATTATTATTTAAAATATTTTATAAAATTTATAGTTAAATTTACCGACCAAAGTCGGTCGGTTATTGCAGGGGAAGATGTTATCGACCAACTTTGGTCGGTAGATATAATTTCTGGAAAATAACCGACCAACTTCGATCGGTTCATAGGTCAAACATGATCAAACTTTTGAATGTCATTAATATTTACTATCTAAATAATATAAATATAATATGTTAACACTTTATTTTGTAATACAAATAATGAATACACTAACAGATACTATACCAAGCTATATATAGTTAAAGTAGTACAACAAAGTGTGTGTATATATATATACCCCGTGTATTGGCGGGCCCGAGCAAAACCCGGGCAGAGCTATGATCAGACGTTTTTGAGTTTCAATGAAAGCATGGATGCATACACAAAACGGTCTATACGTATTTACAAGAGTATACAAAGAGAGTTTTCGTAGTAATTTTCACAAAATGTGAAAGATTACAACTGCTGTAGGCTATGAAAAAGCATTCAGGCAATCTTTGTTGCACTTAAAATCTGATAAAGTATCTGTATGAACAACAAATTGAGAGTTAGTATAACATAGCAGTTGAAAATATGCAATTTGCACTAACAGCGGTAAAGAGGTTGAACATACATTTTATTTTCAATTGTTCCAAATGAAGAGGTACTATTAGTGCTTCTTTCTTTACCGTGAAAGTATTTAAATTGTTCAGAGAAGTTTAACTATTTTCAACTTTTCAGACATTGTTGTTCATTTTTCACCCAACAAAACTTTTATCATATGTGAGCTTACTGTTTGCGTTTGAGGTTGTAAATGAATTTTGAACAGTTGTCCAACATGTGTTGTCTGATATGCTCAACAGGTAAAAGTTGTTCTAGGGCAAAAAGTTTAGACCACACTGAATAAATAAAATGAAGATTTTAAATTTCACTTTTTGTGAGGTAAAATAATCCAAAAAAAATCATGAAAAGAATAATTCACTATGTTTTAACAAATAAAAGTAGTCCAGCTGCTAGCAAAGAACAATATGAAAAAGCGAGTTCACAGTCAATACACAAACAAGATACAATTTTCAATTATGTAAAATTAAAGAAACCAAGGGAAAGAGTTTATCTCCCAGACTATTGACCTCAATGTCTGACCCATTTCTTGCTATATGAGCGTCAGTACAAGGCACAATATATCGACTAAACATGTCAAAAAGTGGCCTTCTCTACATCAGAAGCTCTCTGCTTCATAAAGTTCCTGCATAAACCACAACATCAAAAATAGTAACAGATTCTGACTACATCAATGGAAGTTATATCAAAATCACAGACATAAAGTGTAGTATCAGTTGCAACAAACAGAAATCGAAATTATCTTCGTGCAAGAATACCTTTTCGAACCAAAAAACTAAGTACACTGAATGAAAACACACGAAAGTGCAAAGCCAGATAAGGAAGAAATGTTTCTTGGTATGGCATGTCATTCAAATAAAAAGAGAGACAATGGACTAAGAAGATCATATTGAAGGAGCTTTATTTTTTGGTAACGTATTTCTATAATTCTTGGATTTTGTTCAACCACTTGAACACTAATCACAACAAAAAATATCAGCTCTCAACTTGGTGAAAGAAGAGAAGGAAGTTTCAATATATACTATACATGTCCATTGTCTCTCTTCATGATAAAAGGACTGGGATATTTGGTCCATCTCTTCCTTCTGATCTCATTGTTCTAGTGTCATTTTAACCTTTGGCCGATATGAACACTAACATAGTACGATTAAAGCAGGTATTCTAACTGTCCATATGCACATACGTCTGATATAATACTACTTTGCCATTATTTATAAAATATGGAGCATTTGCTTACTTTAAGAATAAAACTTACAGACACAAAGGTAAATAACAAATTCACAAAGAAGATGTAGGAAGGCCGATGAAGTGCAAATTATACAGTCAGTTTGCAGATGTAATAAATTGTATAAGATTTTTTAAATTATTATTCTGTATCCAAATTTCAGATATTTCTAATTTCAGTAACTGTTAGACACTATTTATATTCCTTTTTGTCCCCTTTTAACCAACTTCATCATTATTTGACCAAAGTTATGAATGAGTCTGCTTCAAGTTGCAGTTTCTTTTCAATAATCTGTAAACATATATGTGCTTGTGAAGTTAACATTAATTCACATCTTCCTCTGCTTCAGAATTGATTATGTACATTAAATTTTCGCCCATTCTACATGCTGCTTATATTATGCCATTCAACATCGTTTATCTATTTCTTATCAGATTGAACACTAAATAGAACTGATTGAACGATATGATATCAATCTGTGGGCATCTCACTCATCCTCACATCTAAGGCACGGAAATATGAAATTAGACATGAATTTTTAAAACAAATTCATGCTTTTTGTAACCCATAAGAGGAAAACAAAAACAAAGAAGGCCAGTGAAATTAAAAGGTACATTTGTTGGATTACACAGCCATCCCAAATTGTGAAACATCATAGTCGAAGTTTATTTTGCTCAGTCAAAATCAAATTAACACAGTCCACAAACGTCAAACCAATTCTTACTGCACTTTAAAAGAGTTGAAAGAGATAAAAAGCAGGATTAAATCATGACAAGCACGAAATGAAGCGCACAAAAAAACAGAGACGCACCAATATATCATCAATTGGGTTAAAATTTTAGGCGAAAGCAAGCTAAATCTTCCATGAAAGATTCAAAACATCATAAGAATACCATCTTAACTCTAAATAACATTTATAATCAGAAAAGGTTGGATAAACAGAGGAAAAAGAAGAAGTAAGACCTCACCTAATAACTGTACAGGCAACAGCAGCGAGAGAGAAGAGTAAAACTGAAGAAACTATCAAAATCTGGACAAAGAACACTTTAGACGAAGGTTTTCGTGGATATGAATGCCTAAAAGAATCCAGTAATTTTACTTTTAGTTCCTAAACGTGTCAAAAGAAGTAGCACGTGTCAAAACAAAATTTACCATCAAATTTACCAAAATGCCCATGAACGACCCAAGCTCCTCTCCTAGCGGCTTCTATAATAGTAGTGTAACGACTCGGCCGGTCGTTTTGAGTATTACAGCACCGTTCCCTCATTTATTGCGCAATTTATGCCTTACAGTTGATTTATGACTTATCGGGTTAGTTGGTTCGGGTCCGGAGAGATTTCGGAATGAATTGTGACGCTTAGTCTCAAAATGGAAAGCTCAAGTTGGAAAAGTCGATCGGATGTCGATTTATGTGTAAACGACCCCGGAATTGAATTCTGATGATTCCTATAGCTCCGTATGGTAATTTTGCGTGTCCCAAAAATTATTTGGAGGTCCGTAGTAGAATTAGGCTTGAAATGGCGAAAGTCGAATTTTTGGAAAGTTTGACCGGTGGTTGACTTTTTGATATCGGGGTCGGAATCCAATTCTGAAAATTAAAATACCTCTATTATGTCATTTATGACTTGTGTGCAAAATTTGAGGTCAATCGGACGTGATTTGATGTGTTTCAGCACAAGATATAGAAATTTAAAATTTCAAAGTTCATTAGGCTTGAATTGGGGTATGATTCGTGGTTTTAGCGTTGCTTAAGGTGATTTGAGGGTTCAACTAAGTTCGTATCATATTTTAGGACTTGTTGGTGTATTTGGTTGAGGTCTCGGGGGCCTCGGGTAAGTTTCGGATGGTTAACGGGTTGGATTTTGGACTTGGAACTGTGCTGGAATTTTCTGATGCACCATCTGGTTTCCTTCATTGCGTTCGCGAGTGGAGCCTCGCATTCGCGAAGAGGAACTGAGAGGCTGGCAATATTTTCTCTTCGCGTTCGCGAAGAGAAGGATGCGTTCGCAAAGGGTGGACAGGGTATGCATCGCGAACGCGAGAGGTATTACGCGTTCGCGAAGAAGAGAGGAAGCAGCTGAGGACCCCAAGCAATTGGTCTACCCGTTCGCATAGGGGGTGTCGCGTTAACATAGTGAGGGGGAAACGAAGCATCGCGTTCGCGATTGGTTGAACACGTTCGCATAGAAGGCATTGAGGCAGAGGCACTTTGTGCTTCGTGAACGCGAGGGGCATGTCGCATTCGCGAAGGAGGAATCTGGACGGGAATAATTTTGTGCTTTGCGAACGCGATGCACTGACCGCGTTCACGAAGAAGAAAGCTTGGACAGAGAGTTTAAGTTCTAAAAATGGGACTTCGTCCCATTTTCCATTTTTACCGATTTGGAGCTCGGGAAGAGGCGATGTTTTGGGAGATTTTCAAGGAAAACAACAGGGTAAATATTCTTAACTCAATATTGGTGAAACTACCCGAATCCATAGTTGTTTTTAACATTTAATTGGTGAATTAAGTTGAAAAATTGTGAAAACCCTCTTGGTTTAATTTGAAGATTTGAGGGTCGAATTGATATCGGATTTGAGTAAAATTTATATGATTGGGACTCGTGGTTGAACGGGCGTTCATATTTTATAACTTTTGTCGAGTTCCGAGATGTGGGCCCTACAGGCAATTTTTGAGTGTAATTTCAAATTTTGTGAAAAAATTAGTATTTTGATATGGGGTAAATTCCTATAATTTGTATTGACTGAATCAAATTAATTGTGACTAGATTCGAGCCGTTTGGAAGTTGATACGCGTAGAATAAAATTTCTGGAGCATTATTTAGCTTGCTCGACATTAGATTCGGCTTGTTCGAGGTAAGTAACTCTTCTAATCTTGGAGCTGAGGGTATAAACCCTGAATATATGTATTATGTGAATTGTTGGGAGGTGACGCACATGCTAGGTGACGGGCGTGTGGGCGTGCACCATAGAAATTATGACATAATTGGTTCCGTAAAATTTTGTAGTCAAATAATCTTGGCATTTTCTATGTAGTTTTATGTGTTAAAGAAATTGAGCTGAGAATCATATTAAAAATCACGTTGAGACTATGTGCCAGTATTATTAGGACCCACAGAGGTCATATTATTGTGAATTATTTGTTTTAAATTAAAAATTCATACTCAGTCATATTCATGTCATTACATATCATATCTTAGTCTTTATTGTTATTTATTGATACATCATATTACCATTTCCTGGCTATTTTCATGACATTATGAGCCCATGAGAGAGAGACTGGAGAGATTGATGACTGAGTGAGGTCGAGGACCTGATTGTAAGGATAATTATGGGATCGGGCTGCACGCCGCAGCAGGCCATATTGGCTTTATATACTTTATTATTATGGGATCGGGTTGCATGCCACAACATGCCAGATTGGCTTATTATAGCACGTGAGTTATTCGTGCAGATACAGATATTGATACTATAGCACGTGAGTTATCCGTACAGCACGTGAGTTGTCCATGCAGATTATAGCGCTTGGGCTTAAGGAGCCCCTCCGGAGTCTGTACACACCCCCAGTGAGCGCAGGCACCTACTGAGTGCGAGTGCCGAGCGATTGGGAGGACTTAGTGACTGTGAGGACTGAGTGATTGTGAGGAGTGAGTGGCTGGGAGGAGTGAGTGACTGGGAGGACTGAGTGAAATGATACTCTGAGAGTGTGCATATAATTTTATCACTGAGTTGCATCGCATTGACATGTACACATGACATACATGCATAAAGATATATTTTTCTCATGCTGTACAGTATCACATCATTCATGATTTCTCACACATGTTGACAGATGGGCATAGTGATGCATTTATTTTACACTGGTTATCTGGAAAGAAAATGAAACATCTTATTTATTATTGAAAGGATTTTGGAAAAATTATTATTTTTAAACTTATTCATATTTTTGGCAACTTCGGTAAACGATTTGGGTTTTCACTGATGTACTTGAAAGGAAGAACTATTTTTAGAAATCATGATTTAGCTGAGCGTTTTTATCTCCGAGTTACTTCTTGTATTATTTGCTTTACGTTGTTATGGACTGTTGTGGACTATTGGTTTTGGACCTGATATTGGTAAAAGTTCGTCACTACTTTCAACCTAAGGTTAGGTTTGTGACTTATTGAGTACATGGGGTCGGTTGTACTCATACTACACTTCTACACCTTGCGTGCAGATATTGGATGTTGATATTGCTATACTCAACGGGAGCTGGAATTGAAGATGTACCTGCATTCTGGTTGTAGCTGCCTCTTGTTCATGGTAGCCTTAGATTTATAACAATATGTTCATGTACATTTCGAACAGATGATGTATTATTTCATACCAATTTTGTAAATTATATTCTTAGAAACTCATGATTTGTACTACCAGTTCTTGGGGAAATGTATTAGTTTTATCTGTTTTCTTTTAATTAATTGCCTTATTAAATTCATTGGAATTGGATAGTTGATAATTGGCTTACCTAGCGATTTGAGTTAGGTGCCATCACGACTAGTCGGACTTTGGGTTGGATGTTGATATTGCTATACTCGTCGGGAGCTAGAATTGAAGATGTACCTGCGTTCTGGTTGTAGCTGCCTCTTGTTCATGGTAGCCTTCGATTTATAACAATATGTTCATGTATATTTCGAACAGATGATGTATTATTTCATACCAGTTTTGTAAATTATATTCTTAGAAACTCATGATTTGTACTACCAGTTCTTGGGGAAATGTATTAGTTTTATCTATTTTCTTTTAATTAATCGCCTTATTAAATTCATTGGAATTGGATAGTTGATAATTGGCTTACCTAGCGGTTTGAGTTAGGTGCCATCACGACTAGTCGAATTTTGAGTTGTGACAAGTAATATAATATAATATATATATATATATATATATATATATATATATAGCCGCATCTAAGAACACGAAGCGCTAGGGTCACAGAGCCGGGTTCTTTTGGGGATAGACTTATGAAGAAGAAATAATCTAATTAGTATATATAATTGATCATCATCAAATATATCTATTTGTAAATTGATTCATCGACCTATAACTTACTTATATGCATCGATGAATATTAAAAATAAAACGTCTCGACCTATATCGATGAATATTAAAAACAAAATGTTTCGACCTATATCGATTAATCTATGTCATGCATTATTAGTAATGAATGAATGAAATATAGAAGAATTAATACTAAACATCTTTGACATGTATATATGGATCACAAATTAAAGAACGAAAGAAGTTATTAACATTAAGTAAACGAGTTAATAATATAACAATCGACTAAATATATTTAAAATAGAATAATATTATTTTATCAATTCATCAATTGATAAAATTTTCGTACATAGTAATGTATGTGATTGATCATCAATTATAATATAATGTGTGTGTGTTTGTATGTGTGAAATTACTCATATACTTAATTATAACTTAGAAAATTAACTTAGATAGATGAATACAAAAGGCAAAACGTCTCGACGNTCCACCTCCTAAAAATTTCAGGTTTCGATTTGAACTTACATTGTTTGTATAATTTTAATATTTTATTATTTCATTATGAATTAGTTAATTATTGTTTAAATTGATTTTTAAATTTGAATTTTATTGAAATATAGGGTTTAGGTCATGTTAAAATTGAATTGAATTGAATTGATTACCTATGGTGTAAATTCAATGTTTAAGTTTGTATTGACCTCAGTAGTTTTGTTAGGAATTGAATGTATAACTTTGAATTGAATTGTGTTTTAAGGATTTGTTCTTGTGAATTGAACTTTTAAGGTATGAATTGAATTTTTAGGGGTAAGTGTTGAATTTTTCGGATAGAGCTTATGTTGTGTGAGGTTAATTGAATTGTTTATGGTATTAATTGAATTATTTAGGGTATGGGTTGAACTTTTAGGATATGAATTAAACTTTTAGGGGTAATGGTTGAACTTTTTGGATGTGAATTGAACTTTTAAGGTATGAATTGAATTTTTAGGGGTAAGTGTTGAATTTTTCGGATAGAGCTTATGTTGT